TCCGTGCTTCGAAGCCTATCTCCTCTCCTAGCGGGGTGTGGAGCTGGTCAGAGTCAGAGACCTGTGTGAGACTGCAGGGCAGGTGAGCAGGAAGTGCATGTTCGAGTCAAGTCCCTGCTCACAGTGAGCACGCAGCCGGTCCTCTCTGGCCATCCCAGATTGTATTCTGTGAGCTCAGTGTGTCGCTCTTGGATTTCGACCACTGACACAGTTAAACATCTCTTTTTAGGGATCAATAGCGGTCGGGTGTTTTCTGTACCGTAAACGTCACCTTTGTGTCGAGATCCGTCTTTGTCTGCAGGAGCAGACAGGCAGGGTGCTGGCAGGGCTCTGTGCTGCAGAAGGGTTCTGTAGGGAGTGGGTTCAGGGCAACCGGCCCAGTTCTGCTGAGCGGGTTCTGTTGGCTGTAAGCTCCTGATCTGATAGGAGTGTCACTCCAGATGTTGGATCCTGGTCATTTTGGCCTGTAAGGGGACCCTGGTCTTCACCTACCTGCTGTCGAACAGAGAAGGAGATGGCCAAGCCAATAAAGTTTCCTCATTTGCCAATATGGCCAATAAAAAAGCCGCTGTCCTGGAATTCCGTTGTGCCGGGTGCCAGGTTTTCTCCCATGAGTCCCTCTCCCTCTTCCCATAGCTCACGGCAAAAGAAGGACTGAGAAAAATGTCCAGCTCCCATGAAAGCTCGTGAGGTCGCGGCGATTGTTCCAGATTGTTCCAGTGCAGAGCAGTAATAGCTGAGGCTGGTTTCATCGTAGTGCAGAAACGGCGGATGAGGAGCCATAGTGAAAGCAGTTGGAAAGAGACGTCAGGGTTTTACAAAATGCACACAACAACACAGTCCAGCCTGCGGCTCGTACGCTCGGTCCAGACAGCCAGGCCTTCTGGATACCCCCTCACCTGCGTGACACCCCTCAGATGGGACTGTAGAGTGTGCAGGGAAGATGAGGTACCCCTCCCTCCGGCTTGCACTCGCACCCCCTGGGGGAAGAGCACAGGGGAAAGGAGAGCCCCCCCCCCTACTCTTTGTATCTTCTCCTTTGGGTGTCAGATCGCAAAGGGGTCCCTCTCACACACAGGTGCTTGGCTCACAGGACTGACAGGAAGGGAAGGAGAAAGGGGGAGCCATGCAGGAGGACCCCCTGAAACAACAGTGGTTTCCTAGGAGAGTCTTTTAAACCAGGGCTGCCTTCAGGCCAAAGCATTGCCCACTGTCCACTGTCCACTGTCCCCAGGAATACTGAAACCATTCAGCCACTGCAGCCACATTCCAACTGCTTGCTGTAGCCTGCAGTTTCCTTATGTGCAGTAAAAAGACTACAGCTGATCAGGAAGAGAGTCCCTGCACTCCACACACATGGCTAACTGAGAGAACAGATACAGCACAGGGTGATCATTTCACTCTTTCTTTCAGGAACCAGTCAGCCAGAGACTTACTGGCGATGGGCAGTGGAAAGATATACTGTACTGCGGGCAGACCTGGACTGTTCTGCACTGGAGTGTCACTTGCTGTATCTGAGACTCAGTACGCAGAATGCGAATGAGAGTGGGGCCCACCAGAGGGGGTGGGAGGAGGATGACATCACTGCTGGAAATCAAGGTGTGGGTGTGTGGGAGGGGGGTGTGGATCCTGCACTCCCACACCGGCTGTGTCACTGGAGGTCTTTGGGAAAACAATGTGATTTGCTCCACAGTGCACTAAACAAGTTAAACAATCGCTGGAGAGCCTTGAGAAGGAAGCCTACAGTAACCCTGTTTATCTTCTCCCTCGCCACACAAGCACACTCATACACACTGCAAATGAGGAGACAGTCAGACTGATATCATTTTTGATATCTTCATTTCCTTTCTCAATTTTAGAAACACACACTGAAAACCCAGTCTAATAAATACACCAGAATTTCCCCAGTATACAGTCTGATGGTAGTAGCAGCATACCTGTTTAAAAAGCCTCTGATTCTGCCAGTTCTGTGGTCAGTTTGTTAGCCCTTCAGTCATTCAGCCCTTCAGTCATTCAACTAAACCTACAGTCTCTCAGACTGCTGCAGGTATTCAATTCCTGCCTTCTATTAGAAACCTAAATTTCTGTAGCACAATTTTCAGACTACTTGTTACTAAAAGTGTTAAAACGCCATATCTAAGAGCTGAGGAATCATTCTAAAATAATGAAACCATTCCCATATTCTAAAAAAAAATCTTGTCTTCCAGTTCCCATATCAAACAGCGCCCCCTAGAGGAGTAGATAGAATTATTGTCCTTTCCTGCATCACTCAAGAGTTGAGAATTGCTCTATAAAACCCAGTCTGATAACAGAGGTCAGTGGTGGTGACCAGTAGGTTCTGGTCTTTCATGCCAGCCTTTGCTGTTTTTTCCTCCCAGCTGTCCGATCTGGAGAAAGGCTGTCACACACTGCGCAACTCAGAACTCTTTGTCCCAGCCAGACTCCTCGTCGGGGGGCGGGTCCTCAGGGTCATCGGGAAAACAGTCAAAGTTACTGGTGTCCAGCGGGCCGCTGACCTGGAAGAGAAACACAGCCAGCGCCACGGGGTCACTCGCACACTCCCGCCTCCTGCTCTGTCGCTCATTGGCAGTATTCCCCCACTAACCTGCCTGTGGTGTGAATATCGGCCTTTTGCAGGAATGTCTGCATGTTGCATGAAGCCAGGCAAGGTACTGCAGTATTCTGGGATACTGCACTCTTACCATCTCACTGGTGTGGCAGCCCGGAGAGCAGGTCTGGTCAATGACTGAGTCAGGAAATCTCAGTGCAAGTGGCTGAGACCTAGTGGCAGCAAAACACTGTTTCTTCCCTGTGGTGCCTTGTAGCTGCTTTGTCTACTCGCCTCTTGGTTTCCTCCTACCTTGCCCCCATGTGCCCCACCAATGCCCCCCCCCTCTTACACTGGGCAGAATGGGCGGGGTCAGAGTGCCTTTCCGAATGCCTTCCCAGTTGAATCCTTCAAACCACCTGCAAGACACAACACGCGGTCAGTGACTGGGCAGATGCTGGAGCGCCCACTGCTACACATGTTTTAGCTGATCACTCACTTGTGTTTCTGGATGTCTTTGACTCCGTTCTTCTGATTTCCAAGCCTCTCGGAGGGATTGTCCCTGTGGGTCAGACACACACACTGAGGCCCTGGCACTGCCAGCCGCCACGCACACTCAAGCTGCAAACACTGTGCCGCTGGAGTTCTGCGGAGGGTGGTTTATTGTGCTGAAGTGGGACATGTATATATCTCACTTATCCAGCATCACAGTATCACCACTTAAGCACATTGTGAGAGGTGTTGATGGGGTCTGTTATTTTAGCCTCAAACAAAAGTTACACTAAGATGCCATAAAGCTGACTTGCTTTAGCAGCCCCAGTGGCTTAATGCTACATAATAAAAGACAGGAACAACACCCACAATCAGGATAAAGCAGACCAATGTCTGCTGCATATCAAAGGACAGAAGCTAGATCAAGACAGAGTAGGACAAGAAGTAATTACATAGAACAAAGAACAGGACAAGCACTCAGATTGTGAAACAAACTTTCTTCTGACTGTATATATGAGCTGGAGAACTTATATAAGAGCAGTTTGTCTGTTCTGTGGGGCAGACCCGGCGCACGTTGTTGGACTTATTGAGCTCAATAAAACTGAATCTGCACAAGACTGTCCTGCTCCTCTGATGAAGAATTTCCCACAACAGTGCTGTACGGTTTGTGCAGTCAATCAAAGAGCAGTAGCAGTTTGTGTAATGTGGACTACATGTGGCCGACCATATTGTGCGAATTGCGTTATGCAGTATCCGCTGCGCGGAGTGAGGTGTGTTTTTTCTGCTCATAGTGTGTTGCGCAGTCAGACCTGCAGAGCCTCTTAATGAGGTTGGCTGCGTTCTTGGTGATCTTCTTGGGGAATTCCACCATGTCGATCCCACGCAGGATGATGTTGTAGGTCTTCATGGGGTCAGAGCCGGAGAAGGGGGGGCTGAGAGAGATGGAGAGCGCTGTCAGTGGTCTTTCTGCGATGTCTTGCACTCTGCCTAACCACTCTCGTGGACAGTCACACTGCCCCCTCAATCTGGCCCACAATAATGGGCAGAATTAAACATTCTCTGATTTTTTGCCCAGATTTCAACCAGCAGTGTCCTGCAGATTGATTTGTAAAAGCTGGAGACACATAGTAATCTTGGCTCTCAGACTGGCTCTGAAGGACTCGCTAGTACAGCATCATCAGCCCCTCCTCTAATTATACTGACCCCACCCATAGTTGCTTAGCCCCTCCCACATCCAATCATAGCCACACCCCCTCCTTCTCCTCAACCCCTAGAACAGTACAACCCCTTTCAGTAGCAGTAAGTCTGAATTTAAAAAAAAGCACATTGATCCTGCTCCGTTGATTCTTCTAAGCCATTCTCTATGTCTAGGCACATTTTGGGAAACAAAACTGTTGTTTTGTTCTCTGTCAACACATCACATCACTCTCAGTGTTTTTTCCCTGCTTCACCCCAGGTCTGGGTGTTCAGCCATACGGTTCCCACAGATCAGCAGGCCCTGATAATGGCACCTATAAAACTGACGTATGGGAAAGAAAACGTGCTCATCAGATTGATTTCCACCCCAATCTCACACTGTCCTTGCCCAGAGCCCGCTCTCCCTAGTCCAAACCTCCGACCCCCCTACCTCAGCCCCTCCCAGCCACACCCCCAAGTATCTGAGCCCCACCTGCCGCTCAGCAGCTCGAACATGAGGATGCCAAGGGACCAGTAGTCGGCCGACACGTCGTGGCCCTTGTTCAGGATGATCTCCGGGGCCACGTACTCGGGAGTGCCGCAGAACGTCCAGGTCTTCTTCCCAAAGCCGATCTTCTTGGCAAAGCCAAAGTCAACCTGGAGGGGGAGCCAGCGAGGGAGAGTTAGTGGGGTCTTTGTGCTTGAGTCTGCCCCCCCTCCCCCGGAATGCGTCCAGATTTTGATTGATGAGGCAGGGGCTCAAACTTCTCATCTGCAATCCAGAGGACAGAACGCAATGCTCTCAGATCACCCTGAGGTTTAAGCGACGTCAGGTGTTTCCAGCCCACTTGACGTAACCCGGTCCTAAAGATCTGCTTGCTATTGCTGCCGTGTTTCAGTCTGATGAAGATTTTGGGGATGATGTCTATTTTTTTGCATCAGTCAAACACTGGAACTAAATACTTTTGCGCTGTCTGAGGCGTGCGGCCGCCTCCTGCCCTGGGTGTCTGGCGACAGGCCGCGGGCGTTACCAGTTTGGCGTATCCGCGCTGGTCCAGCAGGATGTTCTCGGGCTTCAGGTCCCGGTAGATGATTCCGCGGCAGTGCAGGTACGCCAGCGCCTCGGCGACGCAGGCCGTGTAGAACCGGGTGGTGCCGTCATCGAACGAGGCCCTGTAACCACAAGCGCAAATCCCACAGCAAGCCCAGTTGTTTTAAATAGGAGAAAAAAACTGAATATTTCCACAAGTCAACTCCAACACCTGTCCCGCTCCGCAGCACTGTCAACCCTCAGTACGCATCTTACAGCAAGAACCTGCCTGAAGGGTACAGTACTGCCCCCTGCTGGAAATATTAGATCACTAGAATATTGACTCCTGCTGGAGTTCCATATGCTTTTTTTCAGCCTGGCTCAATTCCCAAAAGTAGCACTTGGCTCCGTAAGAAAATCAGTGGGAATTGCAGGCAAGCAAGAACAATGATGGTATTAACTGCCACAGTTTAGAAAGCAAGTACTACTCTTCCAGAATGGCTCAGCGTCTGTATTTCTGCTTATTGAACCCCTGCGACCAGTTCCTTTTCCAACAAGCTAGTCTTCCCTTGGTTTCCTGGTCTAGGTGGGGAGGGGTCAAAGGTCAGTACCTGTCTCTCAGCAGAGTCCACAGCTCCCCACCCAAGCAGGCCTCCATCAGCATGTAAAGGTACTTGGCATCTCTAAAGGTGCAATACAACCTGCAAAGAGGAGAGAGAGATGCCCTGACTGACGGTCTTTTTCAGCACTGAAGCAGAAACCTTCTTAAGCTTTTCGCTCCAATGCTAAATATGCTCTGGATGCTAATGTACTATTTTTTCCAAAGCAGAAATGGAATGGAAAAAACATTTCTGTTTTCCATCTTACACTGTATTTGCAAGATGTTGGAAAATGGGGGCTAGAGAATATGTATGAGAGCACAGATCTCAGTGTAAGGTAGTAGATCCCAGTATGAGGGGGTAGATCTCAGTGTGAGGGATGAAGAAACATTAAAGTGACAGAATTCGGATGCTGGTGAAAGAAGAGCTGTTTATTTCACGTGCACACGGGAGAGTCTCCCCGAAAGACGTGGCTCAGCGCTTTTTATACACGGTAACAGACAAGCTTCCTACTTTTGACATACTGTAGATGACCTAATCCCTAAAATGAATCATTAGTTTTTTAGTCAAGCTCGGGTAGAGAAAAACAACTTCCTATTAAGACTTTCGTTAATGCTTACATTCGCAAAACAAGACATTCGACTTCCCTTTTTACTACATTTAAGACATGAGCTGTACTTGTCCACTGACCTATAGACTTGCCAGGGTTATAAGCAGTTAGGAAGTTAAAAGATAAGCAGTTTGTTAGCTTTTATAAATTTGATAACGTTCCTTCAGGGACTAGGTCTTAGTGTGAAGTAACAGATCGCAGTGTGAGGGAGTAGATCTCAGTGTGAGGAAGTAGTAGATCCCACTGTGAAGGAGTAAATCTCAGTGTGAGGAAGTAATAGATCCCATTGTGAGGGAGTATATCCCAGTGTGAAGCAGAGGATCCCAGTGTGAGGGAGCAGATCTACGTGTGAAAGAGTAGATCCCAGTGTGAGGGAGCAGATCTACGTTTGAAAGAGTAGATCCCAGTGTGAGGGGGCAGTTGTCAGTATGAAGAGAGGGCATGTCTCCAGTGGGGAGAGAGATCCTGGGGCAGCTCTCCTTGGGCTGACCTGACAATGAACTCGCAGTGAGCTTCCTGCATGATGCGGCGCTCGGACAAAATGTGCCCCTGCTGCCGGGTGTCCAGGATGTGTCTCTTCTTCAGCACCTTCATGGCGAAGGAGCGTGTTTCATCACTCTTGAGCTGCACCTGGATCAACACAATACACACCTGCATCAACACACACCTGGATCAACACACACCTGGATTAATGCACACCCGCATTAACACACACCTGGATTAATACACACCCCCATCAACACACACCTGGATCAAAACACACCTGGATTAA